CCCAAAAAGCCTCTCAAACCAGTATTTCTGATGCAAGAACTCCACACCGCAGACCAAAAATAGCAGAATTATGAGCGCTAAAAGTGTCTAGCAAGGCTTTTTATTTTAATTCATATTTGAGAAAGGTTTCTAGCAGCTGGGGAAAGTAAGAGCTGTATTCATAAAACCCTTGGATATTTGCCACACAAATGGTGCTTTTATTGAGCCGGGGGGTGGTGGGAATGGGGAATGTGCCTATTCTGCATCAGGAATGCGTTTCTCCGATTCATAAATCCTCCCCCTCTCCCCCAGCTGACTAAAGGAAACTTTTCTCAATTTGCCACCGAGGTGAGAGAGGACGAGAGCGATTCTCCGCGAACGGCAGCCCCAGAAAGAGGTGTTTCAAGCTGAAACAGCACCCTTATTAAAAACACGCACACAAACAGGACTATGTGTTACAGCCCGGCCGAGCGATGCTCAGACCCGGCACAAACAGCAGGGACAAATCTCTCATAGTTGCAGTCAAGCCATCGTACCAGCAGCCTGCCACGAAGCGTAATGTCCTGCCGTAAACGCATACATTTTTCAGGACAGGTCTGAGAGTTTCCAGTCTAAAATGCCCACTCAGACACAGGCAGGGAGAAGGAAGGAGTTATGAAGATGGGGAACTGAAACACGAAAAGATCGAAGGCGAAATAAAAAAAAACCCATAATCTACATTTTCTTCAAAACTGGTGACTGAAGATGATATGTAGACACAAGTGGAAATGGGAACTAGAACTCCTGATTTCCCCCAAGCAAAGCTTTGTCCTGAGCTGCAGGTACCACAGGGCACTGAAGACGCTCCTGAGATGCAGCAGCTAAGGCGCAGGGGAATGCCTGTACCTTGGGTTGCTCTGGGCTTAGAGACTTTGCAGCTCAGTGCCACTTAAAATGGAGCAGTTTGGGTTAAGAAGAGAGGTCTAGTTTTTGGCAGGTTCCCAGGTGGGGAGCTTAAAAGTAAAAATAAAATAAAAGCCACTTAAACATGAGGGCTTGGCAGCAGCCAAGTGGAAGGTTTGGATGGGGATTTTTAGACTTCAGCCCAGCTCCATCTCTCCTACTTTGGGCACTGCAGTCCTTAACTGTGTGTAACCTTTGACAGCTTGCCCAGCATCCCACACAGGCTGAACCCAAATCCCGAGGTTCTGGCTGGGACACGAACCAGGTGCTTGATGTGCCGGGACTGACCTTGCAGCATCCCTCCACCCCAGGCAGGAACATCTGCACTCCACAGTCCCGTCCAAATAACAGATTCTGACGCTTCAACAAGCCTCACTTGAAGTGTTTCTTTGTCTCATACCATCTGTGTGTGGTTTAATTTTAGCCCTAATCTTATCCTGGCCATTGTGGACGTGGAGAACACGCTGTTCTGCCGTCGTGTTTGCAGTAATGCTCTGATACAGAGGAGCAACCCAGACAGGGCAAGGAAATAGCGGACTGATTCTGCAAGGTCATGGATCTTTAAATAGCATTTCATATCAAGGTCAAAACAAGCTGGATCTACTGTACAGGCAGCAGACTGAATCCTAAACTCTTCCTCAGTCTGTCCCTGGAATAGACACTCATGGGTCCAAACCGAAGGGTGAGGATAAACTTCAAACTCCTCCTCACCAGCAAGTGCTTTCCCAGCTGAGCTAATTAGGAAAAGCCAAGAGAAGCTCTGCCAGCTCTCGTGGATTATGCCCTAAAAGAAAACATACTTGGCAAGCCACTGAAAAAAATGCTATAAGCAGCTCATACGGTCACTGCTTTTGCCTCCACTCTGCTAGAAGTTATCTTTCAGGATTTGTGGCTGAGTTCCATGCTACAAAATTTCTGTAGGAATTGGATTGCCCACAACTTGTAAAGAAAAGGAGGGTGAGACTGCATGGAAACAAAAAATACCCCACCCCCCCATTCCATATAGCTCACTTCAAACCCACATTGTGCTTCACATTTATGGATAAAGCCTAAAAGATTGAGTCCATGATTGCAGAAAAAGAACTAGTGTACCTATCTGCTTTAAAAATAACCCCTCAAACAAACCATCGCCCTAATCACAGAGCATATGAAAAATAACAGGAATTCATTATTATTAACTTCTAATGGGATGAGGCATCTAGTTACTCATTTGTGTCCTTAAAATCCCTTATCCAGAAGTCTCATTCTCATGTAGAAGGAGTAAACCGCTCAGAAGATGTGTCCTGCTCTAGCTGCTGGTTAGAGCGTGTGTGTGCCCGGTGCTTGCATATGCAAGCAGTCTCTTTTCAGCAGCCTCCTCATTAAATGAATGTTTATCATGATGCATGCTGAATGTGTTCTATTTTCAGGGTAAGAAATATCACACCCCTTCCCCACTCTGACTCAGGAAGGGTTTTCAGCACACATTCCCACCAGAGCATCGGACCTTGCCATACAGTTCAGGTTATCACTCAATACGTAAGAGACACCGTAACAGACTTTGGACCCATATGCACTAAATTTTTGGAATAATACTTCTGTATTCCATGTTGTTACATTCTATTACAATGAGCTAATCACAAGATTGTTTTTGAATAACTGATGCCCAGAAAAGTTAATTTCCAGTGCTGTAGCATGACAGTTCAACATCTGCTGTTGGCCAGTACATGGGCTTTGATAAATAACTTCAGTTATATAATATAAATGGGAATTGCTTGGTTACAAATCTAGTGTGCATAAGCCCCTGGTGCATGTAGTTTCTCTAACACTCAAAA